GCAGAACTGCTCTAATTATTTCAATCCTTTTGTGATAATTAGATGTAATTCCTCTATTTTTATTTTTTACCTTTTTTAGCGATGGAGTCTTGCTCTGTCACCCAGACTGGAATGCAGTGGTGCAGTCTCGGCTCACCATAACCTCCGCCTCCCGGATTCTAGCAGTTCTCCTGCCTCAGCCTCCCAAGTAGCTGGGACTACAGGCGCACACCGCTACACCTGGCTAATTTTTTTTGTATTTTAGTAGAGATGGGGTTTCACCGAGTGGCCCAGGCTGATCTCGAATTCCTTAGCTCAGTCAGTCCACCTCTCTTGGCCTCCCAAAGTGCTAGGATTACATGTGTGAGCCACCACAACCGGCGGCAATGCCTCTATTTTTAAAGATACAGTGATTCCACTGGGGTCTTGGGAGGGGTGGGAAGTGAATCTATGGCTCATTCCACCAGCTGGACAGCCGTTAGGGTATGGGTTTGCACAGTGTTAAGTGTAGGTGAACACTGAAGCAATCTTAGAAGGCTGGTACCACCCCAGAGAGGTTAGGATATGTGAGATGAGCGCAGAGTCAGAAGCACCCTGGGCCATTAGCACGGCTGCCTAGCTAGTTCCCCAGGCGCTGTTGCTCTGTGAAAGTGTATCAAGCGTAGGTTTTGTGCACTTCTTTGTCCATGTTACATTTATTTTTTGTTTTTTGTTTTTTGTTTTTATTATTTATTTATTTATTGAGACAGAGTTTCGCTCTTGTTACCCAGGCTGGAGTGCAATGGTGCGATCTCGGCTCACCACAACCTCCGCCTCCTGGGTTCAGGCAATTCTCCTGCCTCAGCCTCCTGAGTAGCTTGGATTACAGGCATGTGCCACCATGCCCAGCTAATTTTTTGTATTTTTAGTAGAGATGGGGTTTCACCGTATTGACCAGGATGGTCTCGATCTCTTGACCTCATGATCCACCCACCTCGGCCTCCCAAAGTGCTGGGATTACAGGCTTCAGCCACCGTGCCCGGCCTGGGTTTTTTTTTTTGTTGTTGTTGTTGTTGTTGTTGTTTTTTTTTTTTTTTTGAGACGGAGTTTCACTCTTGTTACCCAGGCTGGAGTGCAATGGCGCGATCTCGGCTCCCCGCAACCTCCTCCTCCTGGGTTCAGGCAATTCTCCTGCCTCAGCCTCCAGAGTGGCTGGGATTACAGGCACGTGCCACCATGCCCAGCTAATTTTTTGTATTTTTAGTAGAGACGGGGTTTCACCATGTTGACCAGGATGGTCTCGATCTCTCGACCTCGTGATCCACCCGCCTCAGCCTCCCAAAGTGCTGGGATTACAGGCTTGAGCCACCGCGCCCGGCGCATTTTTTTTTTTTTTTTTTTTTTTTTTTTTTTTTTTGAGATGGAGTTTCGCTCTTGTTACCCAGGCTGTAGTGCAATGGCGCGATCTCGGCTCACTGCAACCTCCGCCTCCTGGGTTCAGGCAATTCGCCTGCCTCAGCCTCCTGAGTAGCTGGGATTACAGGCACGTGCCACCATGCCCAGCTAATTTTTGTATTTTTTTTAGTAGAGACGGGGTTTCACTATGTTGACCAGGACGGTCTCGATCTCTTGACCTCGTGATCCACCCGCCTCAGCCTCCCAAAGTGCTGGGATTACAGGCTTGAGCCACCGCGCCCGGCCTTTTTTTTTTTTTTTTTTTTAACACGGTCTCCCTCTGTTACCCAGGCTGGAGGGCAGTAGTGAGATCTTGGCTCACTGCAGCCTTCACCTCCCAGGTTCAAGAGATTCTTGTGCCTCAGCCACCCGAGTAGCTGTGATTACAGACGTGTGCCACCATGCCCAGCTAATTTTTGTAGAGACAGGGTTTTATCATCTTGGCCAGGTTGGTCTTGTTCTCAAATGATCCACCCACCTTGGCCTCCCAAAGTGTTGGGATTACAGGCATGAGCCACCACTCCTGACTCCATGGAACATTTAAATTAAAAAACCTGACATTACCATAAAATGAAGAAACAGTAGCCTTCAAGCATACTGAGGTCTGGGCAGTTTGTAAGAGGAAAACCAAGAAGTTGTCATTGACCATGGGTGTTGGGGAGGGTTTCATAGAGGGAAGTTGTGGCCAGCACTTCTAAATGCTGCAAAGGCCAAGAAGGTAAAGGCAAAAATCAAACTTTGGGCTTGGCAATCACAAGACGTTGGGGATCTTGGTGAGAGCTTGGTAAAAATAAGAATCGTGTAATTACTATATGTTTATTGCTCCAAAATGCTTCAATATACATCAGCAAAAATGATTACTATATAGAAAACATTTCCAATATCAGGGAACAGGAAAACGGATTATAAAGGCAGAGAAGGAACTGTAGTGGGATAAGAGTGGGAGACAAGGAAGGAGAGAAGATGACGGTGTACTGTACTTTGCAGGACGAGGTTGACTGCCAGAAGTGGGACAGGGTCACAAGAGACATCTGTACAGGGGATATCAGGCCGCAGGAGAGAGAATTCTGTGCCTCTGAGGAGGTGGGATACAGAGATGAGGTTCAGCCATGGAAAAGAGGATGGACAGTCTAGCCATAGGCTACAGTATGGCTGAGAATGGGGAGTCGTGAGCTGGAGTTGTCTTTTCAGGATATGGGATTGATTGGAGCAGAATCAGTTCTTCGTTATCAGCCCATCACGTGAAGGTAGAGGGGAAGCAATTGAGACAGAGTAAAAATTTATACACTAAAGATTGAGCAGGGAGGGCTGGCCCAGATCAGAGACAGCAAACTCAGTTCATAAGCTGTGGTTAGGAGGGCTACAGGACACCCTGTATTTCGGTAGAAGTGACATGATGGAGCTCTGAAGAGAAGGAGCAGAGGTCCAGAGGACGCTTGGAGCGGAACAATGCGCACATATCTGTTCAGTGGGTGTCTCGGGTTTTTTTTTAGACTGGGTTTCACTCTATTTCCTAGGCTGGAGTGCAGTGCTATGATCTCGGCTCACTGCAGACTCCGCCTCCTGGGTTCAAGCCCTCCTCCCACTTCACCTTCCAAATAGCTGGGACTACAGGTGCATAACACCACACCTGGCTAATTTTTGTATTTTTGGTAGAGACAAGATTTCACCATGTTGCCCAGGCTGGTCTTGAACTCCTGAGCTCCAGCAATCTGCCTGCTTTGGCCTCCCAAAGTGCTGGGATTATAGGTGTGAGCCACCATGCCCAGCCTTCAGGGTTGATTCTGCACCTATGTTAAAGGAAGATTAGAAGCCAGTTCAGCATGGGAGAGGACCGTAGTGCATAGATGGGTTGTGGGGTTTGTGGCAGACCTGCCATGTATTCTGTCTCCCACTCTGGGAATGCCCAGATGCCTGAAGCTCAAGTTGATCCCCCAACCCAACTTTTTTTTTTTTTTGAGATGGAGTCTTGCTCTGTTGCCCAGGCTGGAGTGCAATAGTGTGATCTAGGCTCACTGCAACCTCTGCATCCTGGGTTCAAGCGACTTTCCTGCTTCAGCCTCCCAAGTATGTAAGATTACCAGTGCATACCACCACACCTGGCTAATTTTTGTATTTTTAGTAGAAATGGGGTTTCACCATGTTGGCCAGGCTGGATCTCAAACGCCTGACCTCAGGCGATCCGCCTGCCTTGGCCTTCCAAAGTGCTGTGATTACAGGCATGAGCCACTGCACCTGGCCTCTTTATTTGGGGTCTTACTTTGGGAGTCTTTAAGTGGGGTCTTACTCTGCTACCCAGGCTGTAGTGCAGTGACGCAATCTCAGTTGCCTGCAGCCTCCACCTCCTGGGCTCAAGCTATCCTCCCACTTCAGCCTCTCAGGTAGCTGGGACTATAGGTGTGTACCACCACACTTCTTGGCATGAGTTGATTTATTTTCTTTTTTCTTTTTTCTGTTTTTTTTTTTTTTGAGACGGAATCTAGCTCTGTTACCTAGGCTGGAGTGCGGTGGCATGATCTCAGCTCACTGCAATCTCTACCTTCAAGGGATTCTCCTACCTCAGCCTCCCCAGTAGCTGGGATTACAGGCACGTGCCACCATACCCAGCTAATGTTTGTATTTTTAGTAGAGACAGGGCTTCACCATGTTGGCCAGGATGTTTTCAATCTTCTGACCTTGTGATCTGCCCGCCTTGGCCTCCCAGAGTGCTAGGATTACAGGTGTGAGGCACCACGCCTGGCCTGGCAAATTGATTTCTTAAAAGGACTCGAGGGACATGTATAAAAGAGAAAATAAAAGGACTCGAGGGTGGGTACAATGGCTCATTCCTATAATCCCAGCACTTGGGAGGTCAAGGTAGGCAGATCACTTGAGATCAGGAGTTCAAGACCAGCTTGGCCAACATGGCAAAACCCTGTCTCTACTAAAAATACAAAAATTAGCTAGACATGATGGTGTGTGCCTGTAGTCCCAGATACTTGGGAGGCTGAGGCAGGAGAATCACTTGAACCTGAGAGACGGAGGTTGTAGTGAGCTGAAACTGTACCCACTGCACTCCAGCCTGGGTGACATAGTAAAACTCTGTCTGAAAAATAAAAGTTAAAAAAAAATAATAAAAAGACTTCAGGGATGTATTCTTTTGAAAAATCAGATTTAGATTACCTTTCCTTTTCCTTCCTAGTTTTCCAGTGAGTTCTTCCTTTCATTAAAAACAAAAGTTTAGATCGTGTTTAATGCAAGTGCTTTGACGGCAGCTGTAACCTATTTTCCTTGGCATGGACTGCTCTGGGGCATCTTGCTCACCCTTAGCTTCAGTCTTTGGGACAGAGTTGAACTGGGAATGGAAACCTCCTCACCATGGCCAGAAAGACAACCTTTGAATGTACGGATCCTCAATAGGCTATCCCAAATGTGGGGTCTTCAGTCGTTCTCAGTGAGACCTGACTCACATTAGTCAGACTGTTGAATAACCAGGACAGTTTCTCTGCATCCTGTCTTCCCTCCCCAGGGCTGTCAGCCTCACTCCATCCCTAGAAATAGTGGAAGGGGTGGTCACAGGCTGAGAAGGAACATTTGTGTTCTTTTAGGAACCAGTGACCTTCAAGGATGTGGCTGTGGACTTCACCCAAGAAGAGTGGGGGCAGCTGGACCTTGTTCAGAGGACTCTGTACCGTGATGTGATGCTGGAGACCTATGGGCACCTGCTCTCTGTGGGTAAGGCAGATGCTGCCCAAGTAAATGAAGCTGTTCCCATTGTAATGCCTTCAGCGGCTCCATGTTTCAAAGCTCCTTGCAGGGCAAGGGTGATGTCTCAGAAGAGCTGAGATGATATTGGTCCCTGAGGTTTGAGGACAAAACTCCTAATGCTTACAAAACATAGAATGGAAGGACCTTGCATATTCTGCCCAGGTTGAGGAGTCCCGGGGAGGAATAGGCAAGGGAAGCTTTCTTTGGCTGTCCTGAAGCCTTGTGACACAAGTTTCATACTTTTCCTCCATGCGTAGGAAATCAGATTGCCAAGCCTGAGGTCATTTCCCTGTTGGAGCAAGGAGAAGAGCCGTGGTCAGTGGAGCAGACATGTCCTCAACGTGCTTGTCCAGGTGAGGGCAGACCCCAGGCTAAGCAAGGAACTTCCTTCCAAGCCTTCTTTGTTGAGAAATGGGATAAGGCCATGAAGAGTTATCTTCCTCAGATACATTTAGAATTCCCTCTAAGGAGCTTTCTTCTCTTACTGCTATTGATTTTGAGCAAAGAAGCATCACCATGCTAATAAGGTAGCCATTTTTGTGTGCTGCACTTTCACTCTCTCGCTGCCTGCTCTCTTGATGACTCCTGTTTTCTATAACCTCTAAGGTTATCTCTCATCCAGTTAGCTACTTAAAATGTTTACCTTATTTCTTCTATTGCCAAACTTGTAACCTATAGCTACAGATGCTTCTTTGAAAAAAATAGTTTCTTTGGAGATTTTTGTTTTTTTTGTTTGCTCGTTTTGAGACAGAGTCTTGCTTTGTCACTCAGGCTATAGTGCATTAGTGCGGTATCAGCTCACTGCTACCTCTAGACTTCTTGGATTCAACCGATTCTCCTGCTTCAACCTCCCAAGTGGCTGGGATTACAGGCACCTGCCACCATGCCCAGCTAATTTTTATATTTTTAGTAGAGACAGGGTTTCACCATGTTGGCTGGACTGGTCTCAAACTCCTGACCTCAAGTGATCCACCCACTATGGCCTCCCAAAGTGCTGGGATTACAGGCGGGAGACACTGTGCCCGGCTTGGGCTTTTGTTCTTTCTTACTTACATCGTCTTGGATGGATTTTTAAAATACAGTTAGTGGTCAAATATCTGAAAGCTAAATGTGTAAGCTAAAAAAAAGAATCTCATTTGTGAAAAAAATTAGCTGGGCTTTATGGTACCTGCCTATGGTCCAGCTACTCAGGAGGCTGAGGTGGGAGGATTTCTTGAGCCTGGGATTTTGAGGCTGTAGTGAGTTATGATCTCACCATTGCACTCCAGCCTGAGTGACAGAGCAAGACCTTGTCTCAGAAAGTAACACCAACAAAAATAACTCATTTATACTCCCTGCTCTTACATTTCTGTTTGTCCCCCAAAACACAGATACAGAGGGGCATACACACAGGTAACCACTTTTCTTTTACTATAAAATTTTGAGTTATTTTCTTGGTAGTTGCCCTGGGGATTACAATTAACTTTTTTTTTTTTTTTTTTTTTTTTGAGTCAAGATCTTGCTCTGTTGCCCAGGCTGGAATGCAGTAGCACGATCTTGACTTACTGCAACTTCTGCCTCGCAATCTTAGGCAATCCTCCCACCTCAGCTCCTGAGTAGCTGGGACTACAGACATGCACCATCATGCTCAGTTAATTTAAAAAAAAATTTTTTTTAGAGATGAGGTCTTATTATATTGCCCAGGCTAGTCTCAAACCCCTGCACACAAGCAGTCCTCCTGCCTCTGCCTCTCAACGTGCTGAGATTATAGGCATGAGCCACCATGCCTGGCCCTACATTTAACATCTTAATTTATGACAATGTAGTTTGGATTAATACTAGTTTAATATTAGTAGGATACCAAACATTTTTATATAGCTCTGTCCTCCTCCTTTTATGCTGTTATTGTCACAAATTACAACTTTATACATTGTATGTTTATGAATATAGATTTATAATTATTGCTTTATGCAGTTGTCTTTTAACAGACTGAAAAGGAGCTAGAAACAAGAATTGCATTTATATTGTCTTTTTATACATACTTAGCTATCTTTATTGGTGTTTTTTACTTTGAGTTACTGTTGAATGTTCTTTCATTTAGGCCTGAGGGACTTTAGCATTTCCATTTTGTTTTCTGAGACCAAAAGACACTCTGTTGCCCAGGCTGGAGTGCAGTGGCATGATTATGGCTCACTGTAGTCTCAACCTTCTGGATCGAGTGATCCTCCAACCTTAGCCTCCTGAGTAGATGGGACTATACATACATACCACCATGCCTCACTGTGTTGTCTAGGCTGGTCTTGAACTTCCTTAGCTCAAGTGATGCCCCCGCCTCAGCCTCCCAAAGTGCTGGGATTACAGGCATGAGTCACTATGCCTAGCCAGCATTTCCTATAGGGCAGGTTTGCCAGCAGCAAACTGTTGCGTCTTAGATGGAAAGCTTTTGATTTCTCCTTCATTTTCGAAGGATAATTTTATGGGGTATAAAATTTTTTATTGTCATGTTTTTTGTTTTTGTTTTTTTCCTTTCTCTCTAGCCTGAATAGTTTCTGAGAAACAAGCTGTTAATCTTTTTTTTTTTTTTTGAGATGGAGTTTCACTCTTGTTACCCAGGCTGGAGTGCAATGGCGCAATCTCGGCTCACCGCAACCTCCATCTCCTGGTTTGAGGCAATTCTCCTGCCTCAGCCTCCTGAGTAGCTGGGATTACAGGCACATGCCACCATGCCAAGCTAATTTTTTGTATTTTTAGTAGAGACGGGGTTTCACCATGTTGACCAGGATTGTCTTGATCTCTTGACCTCGTGATCCACCCGCTTCGGCCTCCCAAAGTGCTGGGATTACAGGCTTGAGCCACCGTGCCCGGCACAAGCTGTTAATCTTATTGAGGATCCCTTGTATGTGATGAGTTTCTTCTCTCTTTCTGCTTTCAGGATTCTCTCTTTGGCTTTTAGTCTGTGAGTTTAATTATTATGTGTATGCATGTTGCCTTCTAGGTTGGAACTTCTCAAAGTCCCTATAGACATCTCATTCCTCAGCTCTTCCATTTCATCTTTTTGACTATTGTGTTTTGGGCCCTACCTGTTTGCCATATCCTTAAGCATTGGTGATTTTAAAACATTGCCTGTAAATGTTAGAAAAGTACATTCTCTCTAGAGGCTTTTTATTTTTTGGAGACGGAGTTTCGCTCTTGTTACCCAGGCTGGAGTGCAATGGCGCGATCTCGGCTCACCACAACCTCCGTCTCCTGGGTTCAGTTAATTCTCCTGTCTCAGCGTTTCAGCATGTTGACCAGGATGGTCTTGATCTCTTGACCTCATGATCCACCTGCCTCGGCCTCCCAAAGTGCTGGGATTACAGGCTTGAGCTACCCCACCCAGCCTTCTCTAGAGGCTTTTTGACACTATGAGAATTTTCTGCCAGGCAAAACAAAGACCAGCTTTTCCAGTGCAGTTTTCCAGGGAGCCACTAGGCAGTTCTAGTAAGAACTGTTCTTTGGCAATGAGGCTTTAAAAAAGCTCCAGCTTTGTTTTGTTCACTGAAGTATCAGAAGTGGGGGCTGTCATTTTTCAAGGCTATTACTCAGCCAGAGATGGGACCAGGGTAAGTTAAAACACCACATAGCTTACTGTTCTTATTAAAATTCACTTTTCTAGAATAAATGTTTCTTGGTTCCTGCAAGGCTTTGGTTAATTTACAGAATTTTGGAAAAAATCCCTTCTGACAATTATGCCAGGTTTTGTTTTGTTTTGTTTTGAGACAGCATCTCATTTAGTCACACAGGCTGGAGTGCAGTGGTGCAATCTCAGCTCACTGCAACCTCCACCTCCTGGGTTCCAGAGATTCTCCTGCCTCAGCCTTCCAAGTAGTTGGGACTACAGGCATGCACCACCATACCTGGCTAATTTTTTGTATTTTTAGTGGAGACAGGGTTTCACCATGTTGGCCGGACTGGTCTCAAACTCCTGACCTCAGGTGATCTGCCTACCTCGGCCTCCCAAAGTGCTGGGATTACAGGCATGAACCACCACGCCTGGCCAGTTTTGCCAGTTTGTTAGTTGCTTTTACATAGTGGTGAAATCTTAGATGTCTTTACTTTGCCGTTTTCACTGACATTCTGCCCCAGGTAATCACTTTTAGTAACTTCTGTTAGATGCATAACATAGTTTCTTTATGCAACTACAAGCATATAGGAATTTGTAGTTATTTTTCACATTTTCAGCTGTAAGATATACACATTGTCTTTTTCTTGTTCTTTTTAGCAATGTGCTACAGCCTCTTCTTGAGTCCTGAAGTTGGATATCTTCCACCCACTCTAATGGAGTAGAATCTTGCCAACTGTTTTCTATTCAGATTGGAAACTTTCCCCTAAGAGCTGATGAATTCCAGTAGCTTTAATTCTTATACCTGTGGTGCTCCCCATTCTTAGTTACCATTCAGAGCCCTGCAATTCCGGCATCTCTGTCCTTACACTTCTCCCATTTTACAAAGCATCTCGGCTGTCTCTTTGATCTCAGCCGATAGAACCAGTAATCTTGTTTCTTCCTTCTAGATGTTTTCCCATCTTCCTGAGATGTGTTTCTGCATGTCCCATAAGCTGGAGATTGAGAAGTCATCTTGATTTCCTGTTCTTTCCTCTCCAAGAAGTAATCTCTCTTCTAACTCCCAAGATTTTCTTTCTCTGAAATGTTAGTTATGTCATTCAGCTTCCATCAACACTCTCAGTCAGGGCCCTTTCTCATAAAATTCCAGCCCAAGTTGATGAGGAAATTATCACTTGTTATTAGCCACCTCAGGTATTATTTCTCGATTTATGTCCCTGAAAATTTTCATTATGAGGTCCCTGTCAGTAAACCCACAGTGATTCTAATTGCCTTTTAACAAAACAACTGGATTCCAAGACCTTCTATTTTTTCTATGGTTTTTCTCATTTCCTGAATAGCTCCTAGAGTTTATTCAGCAGGTGTCCTTACTTTCTTCCTTACACATCGGTCACCTTATGCATGCCTCTGCTCATGCTGAGTGACTAGTTAGTCTGTACCCAGGGTGTGCTTCAAAGTTGAGCTCATGTTGTTTCTCTTGTGAGAACCATCCTTGAGCATTTCTGTTAGTGCTGATCTCCTCCTTCGATCTCTCGCCCATTTAGCATCTATAACCCCACCATCTCAGAGTAATATTTCATGTATATTCATCACTGTTTGGTATGTCTTCTCATCACATAGATTCTAACTTCCAGAGAGACCATACTTTCTTGCCTTGTGTCTGGTTCTGGAAACTTAGTAGGCTACAAGTAGTGAGTGAGTATAAGGTTGGACAAGAACTGTTCATTTGGTCTTTCATTTGTTCAGGGAATTGGTCAGCTTCCATTTGTAAGAGCTTTCACTGGAAGGATTTGAAATCTATATGAAGATAATTTGGTAACTTTTAAGAGCTGAGCTTGAAATTGATAATAAATGCCAGTTCTGCAGAGTAGGACCTCTGTTATAATGGATGTGGGGGCCAAGCATGGTGGCTCACATTTGTAATCCCAGTGCTTTGGGATGCCAATGTGGGAGGATTATTTGAGCCCAGGAGTTTGAGACCATCCTGGGCAGCATGACAGGACCCTGTCACCACTAAAAATTTTTTAAAATTTTTTTCTTTTTCTTTTCTTTTTTTTTTTTTTTTGAGACGGAGTTTCGCTCTTGTTACCCAGGCTGGAGTGCAATGGCGCGATCTCGGCTCACCGCAACCTCCGCCTCCTGGGTTCAGGCAATTGTCCTGCCTCAGCCTCCTGAGTAGCTGGGATTACAGGCACGCACCACCAAGCCCAGCTAATTTTTTGTATTTTTAGTAGAGACGGGGTTTCATCGTGTTGACCAGGATGGTCTCGATCTCTTGACCTCGTGATCCACCCACCTCGGCCTCCCAAAGTGCTGGGATTACAGGCTTGAGCCACCGCGCCCGGCCTTCTTTTTCTTTTTCTTTTTTTTTTTTTTTGAGACGGAGTTTTTCTCTTGTTACCCAGGCTGGAGTGCAATGGTGGGATCTTGGCTCACCGCAACCTCCACCTCCTGGGTTCAGGCAATTCTCCTGCCTCAGCCTCCTGAGTAGCTGGGGTTACAGGCAGGCACCACCATGCCCAGCTAATTTTTTGTATTTTTAGTAGAGACAGGGTTTCACCATGTTGACCAGGATGGTCTTTTTTTTTTTTTTTAAGACAGAGTTTCGCTCTTGTTACCCAGGCTGGAGTGCAATGGCCTGATCTCGGCTCACCGCAACCTCCGCCTCCTGGGTTCAGGCAATTCTCCTGCCTCAGCCTCCTGAGTAGCTGGGATTACAGGCACGCGCCACCATGTCCAGCTAATTTTTTGTATTTTTAGTAGAGACGCAGTTTCACCATGTTGACCAGGATGGCCTCGATCTCTTGACCTTGTGATCCACCCGCCTCGGCCTCCTAAAGTGCTGGGATTACAGGCGTGAGCCACCGCACCCAGCCTCCAGGATGGTCTTGATCTCTTGACCTCGTGATCCACCCGCCTCAGCCTCCCAAAGTGCTGGGATTAAAGGCTTAACCCACTGAGCCCAGCCTTCTTTTTTTTTTTTTTAAGATGGGGTTTCACCATGATGGCCAGGCTGGTCTTGAAGTCCTGACCTCAGGTGATCCACCCACTTCTGCCTCCCAAAATGCTGGGATTACAGGTGTGAGCCACCGCGCCCGGCCAAAGTTTTTAAAATTTAACCAGGCATGGTGATGCACACCTGTAGTCCCATTACTCGGAATAGTTGGGAGGATTCCAGAGCCCAGTAATTTGAGACTGCTGTGAGCTATGATGGCACTACTGCACCCCTGCCTTAGTGATGCTTTGCCTCAAAAAAATTAAACAAACAAAAAAATGATGGACTTGGGTGGTAAAAAGGGGGAAATTATATACAGTAAAGAGAAAAAAAAGAAATAGAGAGAGAGGACAGGATCTGGTTCTTGTTGGGACCTGCCTGGGGCTTTAGACCCTGTGGCAATCTGGATAATGACGTCCCCACAAAGATGTTTGCATCCTAATCTCTAGAATTTGTGAATAGGGCACCTTGTGTGGCAAAAGAGGCCTTGAGATGTGAATAAATTAAGAATTTTGCTGTGGGGAGATTATCCTGGATTGTCTGAGTGGATTCTAAATGTAATCACAAGGGTCCTTCTATAAAATCATGGTGGGAGGGCCAGAGACACAGGGAGAGGATGTTATGACAGAAGCAAAGGTTGGAGTGATGAGCTTTGCAGATGAAGGAAGGAGCTGGGAGCCAAGGAATTCAGGCAGCTTCTAGAAGATGGAAAGGGTAAGGATATGGTGGATTCCTTAGAGCTTCTGGAGGAAGCACAACCCTGCCAATAACTCAGTTTTAGCCCAGTGAAAGCCGTTTTGGACTTCTGATTTCCAGAACAATAAGATCATAAATTTGTTTTTTTTTTTTTTTTTGAGACGGAGTTTCGCTCTTGTTACCCAGGCTGGAGTGCAATGGTGCGATCTCGGCTCACCGCAACCTCCGCCTCCTGGGTTCAGGCAATTCTCCTGCCTCAGCCTCCTGAGTAGCTGGGATTACAGGCACGCACTACCATGCCCAGCTAATTTTTTGTATTTTTTTTTTTTTTAGTAGAGACGGGGTTTCACCATGTTGACCAGGATGGTCTCGATCTCTTGACCTTGTGATCCACCCGCCTCGGCCTCCCAAAGTGCTGGGATTACAGGCTTGAGCCACCGCGCCCGGCCAAGATCATAAATTTGTATTGTCTTAAGTCACTAAATGTGTGGTAACTTGTTACAGTAGCAGAAAGAAGCTAATATAGACTCCTTTGGTTGGTGGAGTACTGATACTTCAGAAGTGATATTAGGCAGCTTCTGTGTATTAAACTTGTCAGGAGTTTGGCTGGATTCTGAGACTTATTAGTCGTCAAAAAAGTCCTCTAAGAATAGCAGCAGGGCCATTGTTCAAGTATAGATTAGCAGACTGTAACTCCTGTCTCTGTTTTTTCATACTGTGCTGTATTCCTAGTCCATCTCTTATATCATTGCTCTAAAAATGATTCTTTGGTGAATAGAAGTGTAACTTCAGGGATATCTATAAACCCTGATGATGTTTGCCCTTTGGGTTGGTGGATCTTGTGTGATTCACTATATTCTATGATATAGGAAACAATGCAATAGCATTTGGTCATAGATAAAATCTTGGCTTGAAGCCTTGCTAGGTGATAACTCTCTTAACACCCCATCCTCCTTTTTTTTTTAAATTAAAAAAAATTTTTTTTATTTTGCATTTGTCAACGTAGGGAGTAGAAGGACATTATAACACAGAAGTCAATTAGGGCACTCATAATGTACACATTACTTGCTAAAGGCCTTGTGTGCTCATCTGCCTACGTTTTGTTAAGATGAAAGGCTTTATTCTTTTTTTTTTTTTAACCTTAATAACATTCACTATGTCCTTTTGTCAGGGGTCTTCAAGACCACCCCCAGGTTCACTGATTCACTATGAGGACTTAAAGGACTCAAAAGTCATTATACTCAGGATTATGGTTTATTACAGTGAAAGGATACAAAGCAACATCAGCAAAGGAAAAATGCATGGGGTTAGACCAGGTGCAAGCTTCCAGTAGTGCTTTCTCAGTGGAGGTACATGGGATACATTCTTCCAGCAAGGAGTTGTGACAACACATGTGAAATGTCTAGTAGGAAATGTGCCTGAGTCTGGGAGTCCAGTGTGTTTATTGAGAGGTTGCTCATACAGGCATGTAGTGCCTGCTTGACTTACTGCAATTGCTGAAACTCCAGACCACCCAGAAGGAAAGCAGGTGATCACTATGAATGATATTGTTTGCACAGATATCTAACGAAATTGGTACAGTGTGCTTTAATAACTTGAGCATGCAAAACACTCTTACTAGTTAGAACATTCCAAGATCTTAATTCCCAGGAGTTGCCCAAGGGCCAGTCAGGAAACAGGCCACCTTTGCAAAGTTTGAGCACATCAGGCCTGCAGAGTTACTCTTTCTTTCACATTCTTATCCCTGTCTTCCTTTTCATGGAAAGTACTTTCCTCCTCCTCCTCCTCCTCCTCCTCCTCCTTCTTTTTCTTCTGCTTCTGCTTCTGCTTCTGCTTCTGCTTCTGCTTCTTCTGCTTCTGCTTCTTTTGCTTCTGCTTCTTCTGCTTCTGCTGCTTCTTTTGCTGCTGCTCCTTCCGCTACTCCTTCTCCTTCTCCTTCTCATTCTTCTTCTTCTTCTTCTTTTTTTTTTTTTTTTTAGTGCATGCTCCTAATGAGAGGAAAGTACTTTTAAATGGTTTCATTAGTTTTCAATTAGTTTTCAGTACACACTTTGTATTCGGTTAACTGTTGTTCACTTTTCACTATTGTTTTCCCTATTATGATCTTTCTCTAAGTCTGGACTTAAATACAAATTTATACTTGTCTTTTTGATAATACAGACAGTAAATCTCACCATTCCCACTTTATTCTAATGTCTTTCTCTATGCTCTCATAGCTTTTTTTTTTTCCTGCCTATTTCAGAATGGATGAGAAATCTTGAAAGGAAAGCATTGATCCCAGCACAGAGCATTTTTGAGGAAGAACAATCCCATGGCATGAAGTTGGAAAGATACATATGGGATGATCCTTGGTTCTCCAGGTTAGAAGTTTTGGGATGTAAAGACCAATTAGAAATGTATCACATGAACCAGAGTACAGCTATGAGGCAGATGGTTTTCATGCAAAAGCAAGTACTATCCCAGAGAAGCTCTGAATTCTGTGAATTTGGGGCAGAGTATAGCCAGAACTTAAACTTTGTTCCATCGCAGAGGGTTTCTCAGGTAGAACATTTTTATAAGCCTGATACGCATGCTGAAAGTTGGAGATGTAACTCAGCCATAATGTATGCAGATAAGGTTACCTGTGAAAATAATGATTGTGACAAAACTGCTTACCAGTCCATTCAGCCTGTTTACCCTGCAAGAATACAAACTGGAGATAATCTTTTCAAATGTACTGATGCTGTTAAATCTTTCAATCATATAATACATTTTGGTGATCATAAAGGAATTCACACAGGAGGAAAACTCTACGAATATAAGGAATGCCATCAAATCTTTAACCAGAGCCCATCATTTAATGAACACCCAAGGCTTCATGTAGGAGAAAACCAGTATAATTACAAAGAATATGAGAATATATTTTATTTCTCATCCTTTATGGAACATCAAAAAATTGGTACTGTAGAGAAAGCATATAAATACAATGAATGGGAGAAAGTCTTTGGGTATGACTCATTCCTTCAACATACAAGTACTTACACTGCAGAGAAACCCTATGACTACAATGAATGTGGTACATCTTTCATTTGGAGCTCTTACCTTATTCAACATAAGAAATCTCATACTGGAGAAAAACCCTATGAATGTGATAAATGTGGAAAAGTTTTTAGGAATCGCTCAGCCCTTACTAAACATGAACGGACTCACACTGGAATAAAACCCTATGAATGTAATAAATGTGGAAAAGCCTTCAGCTGGAATTCTCATCTTATTGTACATAAGAGAATTCATACAGGAGAAAAACCATTTGTTTGTAATGAGTGTGGGAAATCTTTCAACTGGAACTCTCATCTTATTGGACATCAGAGGACTCATACAGGAGAGAAACCTTTTGAATGTACTGAATGTGGGAAATCATTCAGCTGGAGCTCCCATCTTATCGCCCATATGAGAATGCATACTGGAGAGAAACCCTTTAAATGTGATGAATGTGAAAAAGCTTTTAGAGACTACTCAGCCCTTAGTAAACATGAAAGAACTCATTCCGGAGCAAAACCATATAAATGTACTGAATGTGGAAAATCCTTCAGCTGGAGCTCTCATCTTATTGCCCATCAGAGAACTCACACGGGAGAGAAACCCTATAATTGTCAGGAATGTGGCAAAGCATTCAGAGAACGCTCAGCCCTCACTAAACATGAGATAATTCATTCTGGAATTAAGCCCTATGAATGTAATAAATGTGGAAAATCCTGTAGCCAGATGGCTCACCTTGTTAGACATCAAAGGACTCATACTGGAGAAAAACCCTATGAATGCAATAAATGTGGAAAATCCTTCAGTCAGAGCTGTCACCTTGTTGCTCATCGGAGAATTCACACTGGTGAGAAACCCTATAAATGTAATCAATGTGAAAGATCCTTTAACTGTAGTTCTCACCTCATTGCACACCGAAGAACTCATACTGGAGAGAAACCATACAGGTGTAATGAATGTGGGAAAGCATTTAATGAGAGTTCATCCCTTATTGTACACCTAAGAAACCATACTGGAGAAAAGCCCTACAAATGTAATCATTGTGAGAAAGCATTCTGTAAGAATTCTTCCCTTATTATTCATCAGAGAATGCATAGTGGAGACAAACGCTTTATATGCAGTGAATGTGGAAAAGCCTTTAGTGGTCACTCAGCCCTACTTCAACACCAGAGAAATCACAGTGAAGAGAAACTGAATTGAATTTATGAGAGTTTTTCATTTATTGTACAGTTGACAACACATTGAGGAAAACCCTGTAAGTGTAATCAAGAGGGGACATTTTTCATTAAGAGTTCGGTAAGGCTTCTCCTGCATTATTTACTAGAAAATATCATCTTAGAAGAAACCCCATGAAGGAAAAGAATAGGGAAAAGCTTTCAGCAGTTATATAGCCCTTATTCAAAATCAGATAATTGCAATGGAGAAAACTCTAAACTCCCCTTAGGGTCCACCAGTAATTCACACTTGAGGACCATGACTGTGTGGAATGAGGCATCTTTTAGCAAGAGCTCTCACCTACGTATAGATTGGTGTGAATTGCTAGGGGAACACCTTATGCAGAGAAAAGTTTTTTGACTGGAAATATACTGTTTTGCATCAAGCTGGAGTATCGGATGGAAAACTTTAACATTTTGTGCATAATTGTAGAAATACAGATTTTGTTGTGATAAGGGGAGGGTTTAGGTGCCCTTTAAGGAGTAGAATATGAAATACTAAATCTGAATGTAAGAAAAACAATAGTATTGAATGGGGTATTTACTGTTGATTAAACTCCTTAGAGAAAACTAATGAATGAGATGACTAATGGTAGAAAAGTTATTGCCTAGGAGTGTTAGACTGAGGTTGCTGGACAGAACGTGATCCTTAGCCCAGTGTGTCAGCATCCATTGTTACTCGTCACTGCATTGTTGGGCCATTAGTTTGTAATTTGTTTTAGGCAATCACTATAAATTATAATTATGAACACTACGTCAATATACATAACATGAAGGAATAAAAAGGGTACAGAACTGTGTATACATATTTACTGTAGCAGATCTAAAAAAATCTATATGGACAAGGACCTGAAAGATCCATGGAAAAATTTACCCAGTTAATTTGAGATTTAAAAAAAAGTTTTGCAAATACATGTAGCAGTTTTGTAGCTGGGCTTTGTTTTAAATGCTTTCCAAGTGTTAACTTGTTTAGTCCCCTTAACTCTATGAGATAGGTACTGTTATCCCAGTTTTACAAATGGCTAAACTGAAGCAGAGATGTTGAGGATCCTGCCCAAAGGCCACAACTAGTAAGGGAGCAGAGCTGAGATTGTTTGGCTCCAGAGTTCTTGTTTTCAGCCACCATTTTATGCTGCCTCTCCAGTGATTTTTTTTTTTTTCTAACTAGAATAACCAGCTTATCCAATGATTTTTCCCCCCATTTTCTTCAGTGTTTCTATAGTGAAGATTTGATAATAAAAAGAAAATTATAACAATGAGAAATAAAGTTACCTGGTTCCTCTGTCTTGAAGGATTTCTATTAACCTGAGAGCTAATATCCCTTTGGAATATGAAGTCTATTTGGACATTCAGAATCACTGCATTTTCTGGGACCTGAGTCCCAGAAGCCTAGAACTCTGCTGCCTACAACCCCAAGGATTAGAGGGCAGCAGGTCCTGGAGGACTTGCTGGAGGACTGGGCAGGTCCCTTGGTGGACTTAGAATGCCACTTACGGAGCAGAGGGGGCAGGAGTGTTTGTTCTTTTACATAACTGGATACCACTGCACTTCAGAGCACCATTTCCTAAAGTTTCCCTTGAATTCGGTGTTGTTGTTGTTGTTGTTGTTTTGTAATCTGCAGATAAAAAGCAGAAGGAGCAGGATTCAGAAGGGCGAGGGTGTTTGTTCTTTGACATAACCAGATGCCACTGCACTTGAGAGCACCATTTCCTAAGGTTTACCTTGAATTCAGTGTTGTGTTTTTTTTGTAATCTTCTTCAGATGAAAAGCTTACATGAAGGAGCAGGATTCAGAAGGGAAGAGAGCTAGCCAGTTCACCTGGAGTAAGGAAGTTTCAGTGTTCACAGGGGAAAAAGGGCATGATGGATCAGAAGACTTGAGTGGCTTCTCTCCAGTTCATAAATACTTCTTGAACTTTCACTAAAGCAGGGCTCTAACTGGGGGCCAAGGATCCTTTCTGGATAGGCTTCAAGGGTATCGAGTGGAAATCTGGGATTCATAAGGTTCATCTAATTGTCAAAGGGTCCATGGCTCCCCGGTGCTTGAGAAATGATGGTCTACTGATGTCATGGGGAGGCTGTTTTCACCCTCTGACTCTTCTAGCTTGGGCTCACTTAGGTGTGTAACATTTGATTCAGGGCCTGATCCATTAGTGGTCACCTGGCAAATGTGGCAGGGGCAAATTGGTTATTGATGGATTTGTTTACATGATTTGTGCAAAGGCCCTGTGGCTCAGTCACATCCTGAGTCAAAAGAAAGCCCCTGACTTCTGCTGCTTTCTGGAAGTATTCCCTTCTCCAACCTATCACACACAGCCTTGACACTAAAGTATCAAGATTGATTTCAGTGCTCCCTAATGTCCAGGACTCCCAGGTCCCCTCTGTCACCCTCATACATGACTTAGTTCATTGCCCTTTTTGAATCCATCTTCCATTCCTCCCAACTCAGAAGCCTAGGGGCCACTTTCTTTCAGCCATTAGGAGCCCCCCTTCACCTTCCTGCTGTGGGTCTCCCCTATGCACAGTGCCTCCCTTCTGAGGGTGACTGCCTTTCCTTCCCACTTTTTTTTTTTTTTTTTTTGAGACAAGAGTCTCACTCTGTTGCCCAGGCTGGAGTACAGTGGCACGATTTTGGCTCATTGCAACCTGTGCCTCATGGGCTCAAGTGATCTTCCCACCACAGCCTCTCGAGTAGCTGGGACTACAGGTACACACCACTATGCCTACCTAGTTTTTTTTGTTTTTGTTTTTGTTTTTGAGACGGAGTCTTGTTCTGTCACCAGGCTGGACTGCAGTGGCGCTATTTTGGCTCACTACAATCTCTGACTCCCTGGTTCAAGTGATTCTCCTGCCTCAGGCTCCCGAGTAGCTGGGACTTCAGGCGTGCGCCACCATGCCCAGCTAATTTTTGTATTTTTAGTAGAGATAAGGTTTCATCATGTTGATCATGATGGTCTCGAACTCCTCACCTTGTGATTTGCCCACCTCAGTCTCCCAAAGTGCTGGGATTACAGGTGTGAACCACCACACCTGGCCTAGTTTTTGTAATTTTTTTTTTTTTTTTTTTTTTTTGAGACGGAGTTTCGCTCTTGTTACCCAGGCTGGAGTGCAATGGCGCGATCTCGGCTCATGGCAACCTCCGCCTCCTGGGCTCAGGGAATTCTCCTGCCTCAGCCTCCTGAGTAGCTGGGATTACAGGCACGTGCCACCATGCCCAGTTAATTTTTTTGTATTTTTAGTAGAGGCGGGGTTTCACCATGTTGACCAGGATGGTCTCGATCTCTTGACCTCGTGATCTACCCGCCTCGGCCTCCCAAAGTGCTGGGATTACAGGCTTGAGCCACCGCGCCCGGCCAGTTTTTGTAATTTTTTAGAGGCAGGGTCTCAAACTCTTGTGCTCAAGCCATCTGCCCAACTTGGCCTCCCAATGTGCTAGGATTACAGGTGTGAGCCACCATGGCTGGCCCCACTTTTCTTATTCACTGCTTTCAGACTCTTCTCTGTCTCTTCTCTCAAAGTGAGCACTGACTCAGGTCTCTAGGTGATCACCACTGCTTCTCCTAGCTGCAGCCATCTACCAGCAGGTCACCATTGGTGTATCTCGAAGATTTCAGCTCCTGCCTCACTGCATCTAAAACTATCCCTGTCGTGATACTTCCTGATTCCAATGTCCATGAAGTTGATTTTCTGATGTCCTTACTTCACTGTTAAACTTCAGCCTTTTCTCTGCTGATAGTTTTGCCCTGCACCCTCCCCCAGCCAGTCATTTCCATTGCTATCCCTAAAACCATTCCACCCGTGATAAGCCCCTCCACTAGACTGTTGCAAGCATCCCTTCCTGAGCTAGTTGACTATTTAATACCTAGGTTTCAATAATCTCCTGCCTGAATCTTCCTTCATGCCAAATCTCAGCAGATGATTTTGGTTTCTGTTTCCCTGAGAAAGTAGAAGTAGTCAGTGGAGGCCTTCATAACATCCCTCTGCCTTCCCTATCCCCTACTGCAATTCCATTTTTTTTATATGAGTGGCTGGGCCTATGTACCAAGCCTGTCCCCCTCCAATACTTCAGGGCATTGCCCCAGCAAGTCTCCCTGTTTTGTATATCATCAGTTTTTCTCAATATACTAGATGATTCCTATCAACGTGCAAACATGCTTCCAAAACAAAACTCAATACTACATCTAACTCCTGTATTATTTCTCTGCTTCAGTGTTAGCAAAATTTCTTGACTTGTCTATTGTTGCTTTCTCTTCTTTCCATTCTTCCTTGAGCCCACTTCAAACTGACCTTCCTGCCACGTGACCGCACTGCTAGATGCAGAAGTTGAATCTCAGTTTTCTTCTTCCTTGATGTTATCAGCATCATTTTAGCCAGTGGATTACTTCCTCTTAGAAACATGTTCACTGGGCTTTCAGGATGTCTGTGTTTCCTTCTGCCTCTTTGGCCTTCATTTCAGGGCCCCTTTGCTGTTTCCTTCTCCCCTCCCTTGTTCCTTTTTATTTATTTATTTATTTATTTATTTTTAAAAACTATGCCTTGCGGCCGGGCGCTGTGGCTCACGCCTGTAATCCCAGCTCTTAGGGAGGCAGAGGCGGGAGGATAGCTTGAGCCCAGGAGTTTCGAGACCTGCCTGGGCAATATAGCGAGACCCCGTTCTCCACAAAAAAGAAAAAAAAACAAAACAAAAAAAAAACAAAACTATGCCTTGCTCTGTCACCCAAGCTGAAGTACAGTAGCGCAATCTTGGCTCATGCAACCTCCACCTCCCAGGTTCAAGTGATTCTCCTGCCTCAGCCTCCCAAGTAGCTGGGATTATAGGCAGGCATCACCACACCCAGATAATTTTGTATTATTAGTAGAGACGGGGTTTCTCCATGTTGGTCAGGCTGGTCTTGAACTCCTGAGCTCAGGTGATCTACCCGCCTCAGCCTTCCAAAGTGCTGGGGTTACAAGTGTGAGCCACCACACTTTATTTATTTATTTATTTATTTATTTGAAACGATGCCTTGCTCTGTCATCCAGGCTGGAATGCACTGATGTGATCTTGACACACTCCAATCTCTACCTCCCAGGTTCAAGCGATTCTCCTGTCTCAGCCTCCCAAATTGCTGGGATTAGGCACCCACCACCACGCCCTCCTAATTTTTGTATTTTTAGCAGTAATGGGGTTTCACCATGTTGACTAGGCTGGTCTTGAACTCTTGACCTCAAGTCATCCGCCCACCTCAGCCTCCCAAAGTATTGGGAATCCAGTCATGAGCCACTGTGCCAGGCCCCTCTCTATTTTTTTTTTTTTTTTTTTTTGAGACAGAGTCTCAGAGTCTCACTTTATTGCCCAGGCTGGAGTGCAGTGGCGCAATATCGGCTCACTGCAACCTCCACCTCTTGGTTTTAAGTGATTCTCCTGCCTCAGCCTCCCAAGTAGCTGGGATTGCAGGTGTGCAAAAACATACCTGGCTAATTTTTGTATTTTTAGTAGAGCTAGAGTTCTCACCATGTTGGCCAGGATGGACTTGAACTTTTGACCTCAAGTAATCTGCCCATCTTGACCTCCCAAAGTGCTGGGATTACAGGCATGAGCCACCGCACCCAGCTTCTTATTTCTTAATGTCAGGATACTCATTTCTTATATTTTTACACTTTCTTAGTGGTCTCATCCAGGCTTTAAACACCACTAGTATTTAAGGTTATAGTTTTAAGGCTACAGTTTGATGAGTTTTAAAAAACATATATACCCTTGTAATCATCACTGCAGTCAAATAGAACATTTCTTCCTCTTCAGAATATTCCCTCATGTCTCTAGGCAGTTCATCCTCACCCTCCTATAACTGCCCATTAGATTCTTCTTGCCCACTGTGCAAACAAAATCAACTCACCGAGACTGAGGCATTGCAGTAAAGAAAGTTTAATTGACAC